GTGCTTACAGTAGAGCCATATTTAAATTGGTATGCAGGCTGTCACCGAAACACAAATAAATAAGGAGAAGAACGACATGTTCCCTTACATTTTATTCCCGTTAACGTGACACAGCTGGAGTGTCTTTCCTGCCCCACGTCCCAGGGCCGCACACCGGGCTGCGGAGCTGCTCTGCGCCCACGGCCACCTCTGCGGTGCTCACCCATTTACTGAGGGCAACTAGCCCGAACTAGTGCCACAGATGCTTGTAAGCTGCATCTGGCCCACCGCCTCCGAAAAACAAGGATGCTGATGACGGATGAGCCAAAAGGTGACTAGGGTCACGTGTGCGGGGTATTCAGGCTTAAAGACAGATGCCTACAGGGTTTGTAAAAGACACCCAGTGACTTCTTTAGTGTTCCTGAAAGGAGCTGAGGACCTAACCCATCAGCAGAAAGCATTTTGCTGTACGCTGCCAAGTTGCAACTAGAGAAGTTTAGACAGCAGAAGACGTCGCTCAGTGAATAGGGCGTATGGTTTAGACGACAGTGGAGATACGTGTGAGCAACAACCAACCGGTCGCTATACAGCTATACAGCCCCACCAGATTTCCAGTGCCGCATGGGTGCAAAGGAACCTGCTCCTGCATTCCTCTGCGTGCTGGCATTGCCCGGCTGCTGATGCAAAAGCCCTCTGTGCAAGGCAGGGCGTAGAGGGAGCCTTTCTGCCCGTGCGTGCAGCCCTGTGCACCTTTCCCCCTCAGCTGGCCACAAAGCCGCCTCGACGTCCCTGGGAAAGAAAACACCAACGGCACAAGTGCCAGATAAAGCAGGAATCTGGGCTGCAAGGCCTGGCTGCAGTATGTTCCTGGCTGAGCCTTCAAGCGCCTTCAGCAGCACACTTTTAGCCTTCCCACTGTGGCCTGCCGTAGGACATACAAACTGCCTCAAACGATACTCCGGCAACCTTGCAAAATTTCTCTCTCCCACATACACATGTGCACAAACACCACCACCGCCCCCTCCCCCCCCCATTTCAATAATTCTTGGGTGGATTTACAATTTCCTAAGCAGGTTGCTATAGTGACCCTGCAGAATATTTTTTCAAAACACTGTTGTACTGTAAATGTTTACATACAGCATAATCCTGCCAAATTGTCTTAAGACAAAGGAAAACATGAAGTGTCTTTGCTTTATGTCCAGCCTTCCAGCTTTTTTAGCACTGAGAATGTACTTTCAACTAACAGCAGCAGCTAATTATGCCTTTCTGTGGGCTTGCACACCCTCCGGCCTAATAATGGGTCATCTATTAGCTTTAATGAATAACAAAGCTATCGGATTTACTAGCGTTAGCTGATTTCACGCATTTCTGAGTAAATTCTGAGTTAACTGAAGGGCTGGGGCTTAGCCCAAGGGCCAGACACCCAGTTGGTACAAATCAGTGTCACTTGATTGAAGTAATAAAAATGTTGATACTGGGGCAGGACTTTACTGATGAACATCAGTAGATTTTTTTATGGTCTTCTTAATCTGGATAATTAATGGAACGATTTAATAATTTTTAGATAACATATGTCAGAAAAAATACATGGTTCCTGTTTTAACTCACATTCTTCTGGATTCCAGCAAGAAAGACCAACAGTCAATGGAATATAAAAGTATTTGCTCATGGTGTTGTTTTAAACACTGTAATGTTCCTGCATCAACATTAACAGTAGTGTGATTTATGATTACAGAACACATACATAGCTATCGAATGTCTCCTGCGCCTCTACTCTGTTTCTAAGATACTGAAGCAAAGTCCAGAGCATAATATAATTTACAGCACTATAAAATCTTTTACAACTGAAGCACAGTGAAAGCTTAATATCCAAGACCTTCTGTAATATGACTATGTCATCTTGTTAAACTTTATTTATGGGAACACTAGGGCTGACAAGAACTCTCTTCACGTCACTTCCCTACTGATTATCAATATCACCTTTCTCACTTCATGGTGTTCACAAGAAGAGGTCTTCCTTTCAAAAACACAGGTTCAGATAGATAACAGACTGTTTCCTCAAAGTTTATGTTTTAGTTATGGCCTTAGATCACTTGCCCAAGATCATGATCTCTTCTTTCCCAGTACGAATTTACAATGCTCTATCCAAAGCAACGGAAATTCAAAGCGTTTAGACCCAAGACAAATTCTGAAGCACCGTTACCTGAACCTTCTCTGGTTTCTGTTCCAAACCAAACAAAACAAAATCTTGTGATTCTTGGATCTGAATTCTCCTCCAGTTCTGCTTTTAGGATTTCAACATAGATCATACACCAGAAAGGCCTTCTTTTGTCACAACCCTTTAGATGCCAGAGGAGACTGACATCCTTAATTCTTGTCATTTCTACTGCTTGAGAGAGCGAAAATCTTGGGAGCCAGTCACCTTGTGAGACTTCCATCATCTGGAGCAAAATCGATGCGAACTTGTGCCTGCCCGAACTTGGCACAAAGGCGCATGAATGCAAAGCTCTGATTAACTCTGATCTGGCCTGAGACCCAAACCATCATCGCTAGTTTTATCTTAACCTAGCACTGCGTTGAAAAACACTCTCCTTGAACCTTCATTATGCTGTAGAGCAAGGCAGAAAAGTTTTTAAAAAATCCGACAATCTTAAAAACACTTTTTCTTTGCTTTCAGAGAGTAACACAGTGTCCTCCTAGACATCAAATAGGGCCAAAGCAAGATCTCAGCTGACAGCTGAGGAAAGTATCACAGTTGTCCCTTTTCACACCCATCTCTCCCTCTACCACCCACCAGGAGTTACACAAATTACTCGATCTGCTCAGCGTTTCAGCCCTGCTTTCGCTGGTCAGGACGCCAGCTCAGCTGGGAACGTCCTGCCAGCGGGAAGAGGTTGATCACTTGGACACCAGTCCTTTCCAGCACCACTGTCACTCTCTCCTGCCACTTCATCGAACTGCCAAGAGAATTTCTCATTCCATAATCTCTGGATAATTTCTAATTAATAATTTCTAATTCCATAATCTCTGGACTGAGAATATTAAAAATTAATTCTAGCATGGTATTACCAATCAAATACTGGTTGAGGAAGGAACGTGTTCAGAATAAAAGTGATACGAATGAGTAGGTAGGCGTATTTTCACCCTCACGATATAATTTCTTCATACTTTTCTGGCAAGGAAAGGGAGCCTTAAAATAGAAATAAATTACAACCCCTTTTCTGTTTGGTTAAAGTAGCCTTAGAACAAAGAAGAAACAGGTCTGCACATCTTAAAGGCATGGCAGCTAAGTCTGAAAACACATCTCATCTAAGTGTAATTTCCACTAAGATACCTAATTCTCAGGCTTGCCGTTGGTTGAGAACATTTTCCTATCAAGGAACATTACACTCACAGTTTTTAATGTAGACTGGCCAAATATGTTACACAAAGCATCTACGGATTTTCAACATCTTTGCTCATGTTGTAGAGTGCCTCAGTCCGTGAGCAGTGTCCCACAAATAAAAAGGGCTCCTTGCACAGAAGGGCATTACTAACCGTGAACAGGGGTAGCGGATTCTGCGTTACATTATCCAGGACTCTACGGAATTAAACTAACACAAAAATGTGTAATTATTACAGTAGCCAAATATACATGGAGCTCTACTCCATATTAGTAGCAACTTGCACTGTTACATTTACTACCGCTGTCCTAAACTTCAATCCCTGAGATTCCTTATGAACATGACAGCCCTCTAAAATTCAAAACTTCATCTTGTCCTGATACGGCAGTTAAATCTGGAATCAACCAGCATTACAGAAAAACTTCAGCCCTCCTGGCACTTCTTCAACAAAGGACGTGTTTGTACTATTGATTGTACTGCTGAAAATAATTTTGCTGTGTTGACAGGCCTCACTCAGCACAGATTGTGATGAAAAGCTGAAAATTAGAAAGTTAAATGAACACCTGCAACAATTTTCCTGCCAATTTTACAACAAAATAAATATTGAATTATTCTGATAAGTGGGTCAAATTCATCCTTGGTGTCATGGCCCTTTGAGGTTAACAGCGCTATGACAGGAATGAATTTGGCTCCTGTGTCTCTTTCACAGAGCAAATGCTTCTTTCAAAATGAACTTTTCAAACCCCCTATGCCAACATTCATCTTCATTTAGAACCCATCTTTCCCTCTTTACTGAGCTTTTGCAGCAAAGCCATAATTTTCCTATCAACTTGCAGTCAATTATGTTGACAGTTTGACATTAATATTGTACGTACACAAAAATAATTTGCAAAACAGCTTTTTCAATTGTTAGACTTAACAGTCATTTCCATCATACATAATCTTCTTTGACGTGCATAATTCCACAAGCTATCCTTCTGGGAAGAATATGCATCCCTCCGTATCATAGCTGCTTGAACAGCATTTTACATACCTGTGGTGCTGCAGAGATTTTATGAAAAAGATACTAATATGCGGCTTCGTTTTCATCTTGTCCTTTTTTTTCTTTTTTATTCTGTTGCTAGCAGAAGCTGAGGGACACCTTTTTTTTCTCTTGCAATGCAAGCAAAAACTTTATTCTTCCAATCTACAAGTGCTTACGTAGCAAAAATTTTATTCTTCCAATCTACAAGTGCTTACGTAGCAAGAAATTCCTGTAAGTCCCAGGAAATCCACGGAGGGTTACGGCATCTTGATTAGACTCCCCCCAACTAATGTTTGGGGAGGTCCTGACACTCCAACAGCAGAGAAGCGTGTGGATGTGACAAAAAACATTTTCCGCAGATCTGCCACGGAGAGCAATGCTCCGTTGGATTTCCTTACCCCCATTACAGCCTGCTCCCACTTACGGATGTCCGGCTACCTCACGTAGTGAGAAGGGCTTCACAAGGCACCCAGGAAGCAAAAAGCAGACAACAGATTATCATGTGCATGATTTCAAGGGCCATTGAGCCCCATTTTCTGCACATTTGCCCTTTCAAACCTCAAACAAAAGACAAAGCAGTCTCTGATTTTAATTTTCGAGAAAGACTACTTTACCAGCTTTCGGCATCCGGGTCGTGTTCTGTAGGTACTCTCCACTCTTATACAGATTCAAAACTCTCTCTAGCTGAGCAGCCGTCTCATCTATTCCCCAGTGAAGTTCTCCTTTAAAAGCACAGAAAAATAATGTGTTAGATGAGAAGCAACCTGCACAGAACACATCGAGGTTGCATTCGAATAAAGCCCTAAGCGTCAGAGCCCAGCCATGCCCTGCTCTACAGGGGCGTTGTGACGGGGACGCGAAGTCCATGAGGCACCACAAATTGGGTTTCATACCTGACAGGAGCCAGGCATGTCAAAGGCTGGCTCGTCCAGCTGGGAACCCCAAGGCCTGCAGGCAGAAAACACTGCAGTGAGCCCCCCACGAGGGACGAACTTTAGCCAATATGGGGAACTCCAAAGGCTTTGCTCGTTAATTAGCTATAGCCCAGCATCATTAACTTCCCTGTTGAATACACAGAGTACAAGGCATAAAACCCCTACAACAATGCACCGAAACCCCTCAAATCAGATTTAGAGGCACATGCAACTACTCGTCCCAAAAGACACTACCTTGGTAACTAGTAAAGATCTATGGTAATGTCACTTGCCTCTGGCTTCTGAGGTATAGAAGCACCACGGGTACCATTGGCAATGGGGAAGTATCCTGTTTTTATCATTGAAATTCCCCTTGCCAGAGACAGGAGCTCCTCCAGATCCCACAAGGAATCGCATTCTGATGCAGTTCACCCCAGTGAACTATTGCAGTGAACATAAAAGCAGCATTCCCCACATCCCAAATGTGATAGTCACACTAAAATGGAAATACTTGGCATTACCATGTTTATTGCGATTACCTGTTGCATTGACTATCTTATCCAGTAATGGCCTCAGTGAGGTTGGAGCGCTGTGTGGAAGAAGATACGTAAAAAAAAACCTGCAAAGGAAAAGTAACCCATATTGAAAAATTAAAAAAAAAAAAAAGAGTTTACAAATGTCTGGTAACTACTGAACAACATAAGGAATAAAATTCCCATTGCTTATAAGCCACTGACCTATTCAGGAAATATAATCATATTCTATAGTCAAATAAATATATAGCTGAGACTATTCACACAGCTGTCTGGCATACCTAGACCACGCTGTTACATACAAGGCTGCCTTGTAACTACGTGTAAATGTTCCATTAATACAGAAATTTGCTATGAAGCCCCGTGGATTGTGACTATTTGCAAAGCTGTCTGCACTTCAACAAACTAAACGGATGCCATCAACCCAGAAGTCTTGGGGTTTTTTCCAAACCTTGAAAGCGCATAAATCAAATTTCTGCTCATTTCAAATAATTGACTATTATTTTCCACCCTTTTCTTAGACTTTCAAACGAATTGCCAGAAGAAAGCCTTCTTCTATTGTTTTGATGCCACTGCAATTCAGAATGTCTTCTCTGTTCTCACCATTTATCTAAATTCAAGATGCATTCATGTAGATATCCATCGATGGATGTATAGTCTCCATTTTAACATTTTTAATTACAAAAGAAAAGACAATATGCCTTTACCATCACTTGAAGTAGACTGAATTTTCACATTGTTCCTTTAAGTTTCTATTACTCTGCCAATATTACTACCCACTGCAAACTCAGTGTCAGAGCAGCCTAAGATGGAGATGGACAGTTCAGGATCTGACAATATAAGCAGAACTATCGGACATAAATATTAGGTAACGAGCAGAACAGGAACACAATTGGAAAATTGCCCTGCTTTACATCTAACCTGCAAAGCAAAGTAAATGCTTTTTCATATACAGGGGCCACATTGTCAAACAGAAACCTCCAGGGACTCATGCCCAGGAGGGACACTAGCAGATGTCTCACAAAAGCATAAATCAAAAAATTAAGTTACTGATAGCAAAAATTGATCATAGACACAGGTATTATTGAGCTGACATATTCCACTTACACAATGAATATTTCCTAGAGATTTTAACTCCCTTTTTCATCCCTTACAAAAATAGTATTTATGATTTTCCCAGGCAGGATTATCACCAGGTAGGTTTTCTTAGCGATGAGTATGAAACAGCCAACACAAATACCTACAGAAATCTAAAGAGCAGCATAACATTTGTAATGAATAATTTGTCTGGTAAATTTTACCTCACTTTTTGTGCTTAGAGATTATCTATAAAGCAGAGTCCGACTGATTGTGAATAGTTCTTTGCAAAAATTCAGTAGCTGTCATTTAGTTTGCTAAACGCTGGATGGATGCGAGTCACGGAGGTTATTGTTTTTGCTTGGCTATAGAAATATATGACTTGTTCCAATGCAAACACCCACATGTGAAATTCTGACGTGTAGAGACACTGGCGCCTGCACGACTTAATTGCAGGAACATTTGTTATTCATCGATTGCAGGGCCAGTGGCATCCCTTGTGATCTGCGTAACACAGATTGTCAGATCCTTTTACATTTGTTCCTACAGCCTTTTTTTTCCTTTCTTTTTTCTTTCTGAGAATTATCTGATCTTAATTTAAGAATGGTCAATGATGGAGAATTCATCTCAGCCATTGGTTAATAGTTCAAAATATTCACTATCCTTACTTTTAAAGCTGTCCAGTGCTTTGAAAATCGTTCCTCCAAACATTTGGAGGAAAACCCATAGAGACACATTTGTGACAGAAGGTAACCATCTGAAAGTCAAGATGGGCCAGTTCTTGCACAGCAGAGTTTTTTCCAAAATGTTTTCTCTCCTTTAATTATTTACCTCATAAAGAAACAAGCTAGATAGGCTAATTAGGCTTTCAAGGCTACGGCCTGCTACATTTTAAAATTACACGGGGTTTATGCACTGTTTGACATATTGCTGCTTTTGACTTCTACCTAACAGCACCAGCAACCCTTTACTGAGGGCAATCTCTAACCCTACAGCAGTGGAGTGCATCCATGAAAATATGGAATTGAGCAGCCTATACCTAACGAACTGAAGATTTAGCCTTCCAAGGCAAGCGCGCAGAGTCTGTTGCTAATGCCCTAGCACGGGTGGTCGCAGCCTACTATAGCATGAATCTGCTGTTGAACAAAAACCCACTGTCTCTATCGCGCGAAGCAAGAGCAGGAGCTGAAAACACTGGGGCACTGTGCGTGCGTTACACACCCGTGCGCGGTTCAAAGGCAATATTAAGAACTGTAATAGAAAAAGACTGCTTCCTTCAGCGAGACCAGCAACCTGCCGCAAGCCCACCACACCGCAGACATATCCCCACTTACGACCAGGATGGATGGGTGCCTATTAAAGGTTTCTTAGCCAGACCAGCAAAACAGTCTTAACCAAAAGCTAGCAAGCTAAGCAGGATCTTTAAGCCAACCAAATGGAAACGGAAAATTTTGCAGGACACACTAAAAACTGCGCTGCACAACTGCAGATGGCTGTCATGTGGTGCAGCCCATTTCAGTGTGGTCAGCTAATGCAACACACATGCTGGTGAGCGCCCTGGGACCAAAGCAGAAGACTCTCTTTGGAGCAGCCTCTCCTCACTGTGGTCTGGCAGGCAGTGAATGGCATGATACTTGAAAGGCAAGTCTAAGAAATGAGCACACCATTATGGCATTGCTTTGAGATCCTCCTATCTGGATCAGACAAGGCGG